TCATGAACAATTACCAGTTGTTGGTACAAGTATTAAAACCGCTGTAAATGATAAATCAAAGAAAATATAAAAAAAAAATAATGTTGCCAATCACCATAGATGATCAAATCACGAACATTCAAATGTTGATTGTACCCAACTTAGTCAGATCTATTATATTCGGAATGGACGTGTTAAGCTTATGGAAAACTGTTATGGATTTCAATCAAGAACAAATAATAATAAATATAAATGATTCACAGAAAATATTAAAGTTTGACAAAGTTAGTACAGAAGGGATATTATGTCATATAATAAAAGAAAAGCGTAATAAAATAGCCAACAATCATAACAAATCACATACAACTTATTTTCATCCAGGCGATTTAGTACTCATAAGAAATCATCCTCTTTCAAATTTAGCGCAAGGCGAGACTGCCAAACTATTTGAAGTGTATGAAGGACCATTCAAGATTAGCAGAGTGTTAGGATCATCGACATACTTCATTAGTAGTTTAGAAAACCCAGAAGAATTCGGTCCATACCACATTTCTTCAATCAAGAAGTATTTTCCCCCCATGAACAACGAAAATGTTTAATTCCCTTTCCTGTTCTCTGAAAATCAAGTGCATTAACATTCTTTCAGTGAAAATGACCGTATTGTTTAAAAGACAATTATAGTGCTCAAGATAAACTTTTATAAAAGATGAGAGGACTGTGTGTTCAGTGGTGATAGACTGATAGACAATAGGAAATGGTTATTTCCCACACACTCACACATCACAAATATACAGACACAAAACCACTTAATGTTTTCCACTGTTTCTGTTCTTTACTACTGTTTGTTTGTAATAATAATATAATTAATCATGTTTTGTTGTGTTAACGTTCCATGTTATGTTTTTATCAAGTTATATTTATGTTTTCAATGTTTGTGTTTATTCTAGATAAAAAAAGGTTCTGTTTATGTAAATTAGTTAAGTTGTCATACATTCATTCATTATCTTATCGAAATAATGTTCTGTTGATTCATCACCATACACCATCATTTCTGAGGGGATATTGAGATAAAACATGAATGTACTCATATGTGAATTGTAGCTAAATTACTTTCAATATTTATTTGTTACTGTATTTTCAAAAAGAATATTTAAATTTAATGAAATATAAATTAGTGAAGAAGAAAAACTATATTCAAAAATAATATTCTAAAATTAAATGGTGTCTAGGTAGGAAATATTTCTTTTGTACTGTCCAGTGTCCAGGTGTGAAGTAGCATTGTTGGAAGGAAAGCTAAAGAAAAGGGAGAAAATATGCTTGTGGTGGAAGATATAGAGAGAGATGGATGTGGGAGCCAAGTCTCCAGTGATTTAAATATTCAAAAGTAAAAATTAACATTAACAGAATACATATAAATATTGAATATAAAGAGGCATATTAAGAAAGAAGATAATCACTATTCAACAAAAATTGGTAATATCAACTTTAATTAATACGTCAAAAACTCATCATCAATTTCCAACCACCATCGCACCATTGTGAATTGACTAAATTCAAGTGACTTTCAAATTAAGAACTTATAGCCCAAATTTTTTTTATTCTCATTATTAGCCTATCTCATATTATTTAGCCTACTTTAGTGCTGTATAAATTAAGTTAATTAGCCTATCAGAATTTCATACCCGGCACGAACCAACCCCTAGATTAAGATAATTTTCTCTCCAAATTGTTATGTAGCCTAGCCCATCAAAAACCTAGACCAAAATATAATTTCACTGTCATAGCCCAATTCGATTGTTGTAATAGCTATAGAACCTAAATATATTTTATTGTAACTTTATTGGAATTTTATTATCTATTTTAAGTAAATTCATATTTTGAAATCCATTAATAAAGAGGAGTAGGTTGCAAAATGGCGTCCCAACGAGTGGGCTATTGAAAATTCTGATCTAGGCCTAACCTACGATTAACCTACACAATTTAAGATAGGCCCTAGTAACCAAATTAACACACAACTAACAAACCTTCAAATACACAAATAAAAAATATATACAACAACACAGGGAATAATCATTTATTTAATCAATATGGGTGACGATGACAAAAGGTACAATTTACGACCAAAGCCGAAGTTATCGTGGAAGGCAGCCGAAAATAATTTCCGTTACAATACCGACAGTGAATCAGACCCAGACGATAATTGTGGCGAATTAGCAAATGCTAATAAGCAAGATAATTTTGTGAACACCGTAAACAACATACAATCAAACGACATGAATACACAGCACAACGAAGGACACAATCTACAAGAAAACATTCATACACAAAGCATCACTAGAACAGCAACAGACAACACAGCAGCAGACGCACAAGACAACGCCGCCATGACATCCGCATCGAATTCACACCAGCCAATGGGAACACAGGGAATGGTGGAACGAGAACTGGACACAGCAGAAGGACTTGACATAGAGGAGAAGAAGAACCATTGTGAATTGACTAAATTCAAGTGACTTTCAAATTAAGAACTTATAGCCTACATTTTTTTATTCTCATTATTAGCCTATCTCATATTATTTAGCCTACTTTAGTGCTGTATAAATTAAGTTAATTAGCCTATCAGAATTTCATACCCGGCACGAACCAACCCCTAGATTAAAATAATTTTCTCTCCAAATTGTTATCTAGCCTAGCCCATCAAAAACCTAGACCAAAATATAATTTCACTGTCATAGCCCAATGAGATTGTTGTAATAGCTATAGAACCTAAATATATTTTATTGTAACTTTATTGGAATTTTATTATCTATTTTAAGTAAATTCATATTTTGAAATTCATTAATAAAGAGGAGTAGGTTGCACTTTAAAACATTCCTGCTTCATATTCTGGTTCATTTCTCTTTTCTTCATCCCTTTTCTTCTTTTTTTAAAATCTTGCCCGTTTTCTTTTCTGCTTTACCTCTTCAAGGCACGCGATTTCAGCTTTCCGCTCTCGGTCTTTGTCAACAGATGTCAGGATTTTCAAACAATTCTTGCCTGGTTGCAGTCCAAGATGCTTTATTACTTGATATTTTTTACATGCACAGGAATGACAATATTTTGAGAAAACTTCAGCATCCAAAATTTTGCCTGTATCAATACAGGACACCGTAACTACACCGTTGAGTGAAGAATAGCCCCGCTTCTGCCACGTTCCATCAATACCGACACTGAGATCCGTAGATGTGTTGCCTTCTTCGTCCACATTTAGTTGCACAGCTTCATTTGTAGCAGATATCATGCTATCAGTTGCTACTTCTTTTAGGCTTTGGAGAATTTTACCATTGTAACGTTCAAACTTTTGAGGAGGGCTTGGTAAATCCAATAAACCAAACAAGGTTCGCCCTGCAATCATTCCTTTTCCTATCGCCCGCAACCCATAAACACATCGTAAATTGATATCAAAAAATGTATCTACTTTGGAGGAAGTGTAAAATGACTGCTCTTTATTACAGTTTTCACATAATAGAGATAGGCTACAAGCAAGCCCCTTCCTTTCTGTTGTATTTTCTATCAACTGGAGAGAATTCTCTTTGTGACAAAATTTACAAACACAAAAACTAGATATAGCTTTAGAAATTAGTCCAGTATTTACAATGATATTACCCTCACCAACATCAGTCCAATCTTCATCATTATCAAAAACATCCTCAATCTTTCGTTTAGAAGCTGAATCTTTCTTAGGCCTTCTTTCCTGTGATGGTTGTTGCTCAGCTTCATTAGGCCTAGGAGTCTGAGGAGATGAAACACTAGACACTACATCACTTACAGAACTTACGCAATCACTATTAGTGTACTGGTTTCCACGGAAACGTCTTTTCTTGAATAGTTTCTTTGATTTTGTCATGGCTACAAAATAGTAGGCCTAACTAAAAACAATAGCGTTTACAACTAAATTGTACAACACCAAACTTATAAAAGGTTATAAGCTAAAGCAATAACAACATAACCTGTAAATAATAAACAGCAGACAGTAGACTACAGTCAGCAGCTGAGTAAGCAGAGTAACCAACACAAGAAACAAAATACTGTAGCAGAAATAAAAGCCCAACATATATGACACTGAGTGCGCTTTTTAGTTCGAACATTTCTTTTTGTAAATAACTGCTGCAATATATTACCTTTTTTTTTTTTTTAATAGTTGGTAAATCATATAAGTGTTGTATATGTAAATGATCAGCGTAAACCAACAAATAAAAAGACGCAAAAAACAAAAAAAAAAATGAAAAAAAAAAAATGTTCACGTCTGTCTTCCCAAGAAATAAAGTATTGACTCTTATACAGATAAAGGGTGATCCAGTTAGAGGTTACAATTTAAAAATTAAATTATACGTATTGTAGTTTACTTGCAAGGTATTTTTTTATTCATACACATTTATTAAAGATTGACATTACACATGGAAAATAATATCCGCCAAATGACCGCCACGTGAATCCCTGCAGCCTTCAGCCCTTTTGATGAAATTTTCCACCACTTTCTCGATCATTTGTTGTGGAATTTGATGGATTACTCTGCGAATCTCGTCCTTCAGCTCCAGAATCGAGTTGGGCTTGTTTGCGAAAACCTTCTGCTTCAAATATCCCCAAAGGAAATAGTCCATTGCTGTGAGGTCACATTATCTTGCTGTCCAACGCTGATCACCGAAACGAGACATTAAACGGCCGGGAAACTTTGTGTGCAACAACTGCACTGTTTCTCGTGCTGTATGACAAGTAGTCCCATCTTTTTGAAACCACAAGTCGTTCAACTCGTTATTGACAACCAATTCTTCCAACTGCTGCCAAAAATAATCGCTTATCAACTCCCGATAACGTTCTCCATTGACAGTAACTTCATCGCTATGGTCATTTTCAAAAAAGTAAGGGCCAATCCACAATCCACACCAAACAGTTACCTTTTTTGGATGCATTTATTTTTAGAGTTTCACTAACCTTCTGTTTCGTTTGATCATCGCTTACGCCTTCAAATTGATTTTGTTCGTTTATAAATCTAGGTAAATCAGAGTTTGTTTCAGGATCAGGTTTCTCGTTCGCTTTTCAGGCAGGTTTAGGATAGGTTTTCTATGATCAGAGTTGCTGCCGTCCTAGAATCAAAAATCTAGTTGTAACCAAATTAAAATAGTTTGTAGGCTATATCACCTTACCTTTACCTACTTGATAGGAAACTTATATGTTTAAATTATCTTTACTTAAAATTATGTAACTTAAGCAAACATAATTAACATTAACCTACTAAACTGTATTCGAATGAGGGAGAATACAATTAACTTACCTTTAAAGTAGCTAAGTGAGCCAATAATTTCCCTCTTGATTCAAATATACGTTTCATCTTGATAATATAAACATAACCAGGATTTCATTTTGGAATACATTGTAACATAGCATAAACACCAGCAGAAAGCAAACTGTACACACACAGCTGATTCAACCACTGTTTTGCAATAACAAACCAAGCGACGTACTTGGTCTATCAATGCAAAATAAAGCGTCTCTTGGTCTATTATTGAGATTTTACTCATCTGTTGGTCTATGATTGCAAATTGTAAAATGTAAGATAAAGCAAATGGCGCTTAGGTTTTTCCTTTTTTTAATTCTCCTATTAAGTCCTGTGATAAGTTTTTTTTTATTCTAATAGCTTCAACTTTTATCTACCAGAGTGATCTGAAAGCTCAAAATGTCCACATATGTCGCTTGGTCTACCATTGCATAACTACATCCATTTGAGGTATATTACAACAAAGTCAGTACAAAATGTCTATTCACATTATCTATCTGTTATGGATTGTTTGAGAATTGAATTAGTTAGTGATTTAATTAGTGGACTGTATTGTATTATGACGTTTGAATAAATTGAGCAGTAAAATGACACATCTGAAACTTGAAAGAAAATAATTAATGAAGTCTTATCTAATAGTAAAATTGAAGTATCACTCACGACCGATCCTTTCTTCTCCGCCGCGTGGTCGGCGGCCTGGAGTGTGGAGTGTAGAATTCTCAGGGGCCCCTTGGTCCAGCGAAGATCATCCTGCCGTAGTGGATAAAGTCGTTCACGGACACAAAGATAATCCCGGAGGCGAGACACGATAATTATTGAATTTAAAACCGATCACGGTATAAGAAAGTTCAAGGCACAAACTGGTGCGTGATAAGTGGTAGCGGGCGGGAAAGCAGATTGACATTGACATGAAGAAGAGATAAAAGGAAAAAGGAGTAGGTAATGCTACGTCACCGGCAGGATTGCCAACTAGGAAAAGAGGAATGACTAGCAATGAGTCTGTCCTTATGTATGTATGCCAAAATGGGCTGAACCTAAACTAAACTTGATTTTGTCCTTTTTACTTATTATTTACACAACACTATCTACATATTATTAGGCAAGCATGTTTCTTTAAATCTTTTTTCTCAGCTCGTGTGCATCGCAGGGAAAATCTACTCATACTGTTGGAAAGATATTTTCCTGTAGATGTGCAGAATCCCTTTATAAATTAAAATAAGCTCAAAAATAAGCACAACAAATAAATTTAAAATTTTGAAAAAAAGTTTCATGGATCTTATCGGTTGCCATGCTGGTGACGAAATAACAACGAAATATAAACAGAAAATCAAAACAAATAGAAGAAACTCCAATCACATGTTTTATTTACAGTGTGTGGTGAAAATAGAGAAGTCTGAACATTAAATATTTTAGGTTGAGATTCGACCACTGGACGGACGACCTCTAGTTAGAGGTTAATGAACAATACTAAGCACTTTTTAGCTAATTAAAGTGACTACCATAAAAACCTATTGCTGGCATCTGCCCTTAAGTTTTTCTTTCGTTTTTCTTGTGATATGTGTTAAAATAATGGTTAAAAACAAAAAATTACGTAGTCTAGGTTAGCGCACTCTTTACTAGTGTACATATGTAGCCTGGAATGGACCTCATGTGACCTTGGTTGCATCATGACGCTATTACATAAATTAATAAAAGGTGATAATAATGATGAAAAATGTTATAGTTACAACTGCATACATTTAAACTGTACAACAAAAATAATAATGATAAAAGAAAATGTTAATAATTTTAAGAATAATACAATTGTCATATTTTACAAGATCTTATGTACTTTGATTTGAAAACCAATCATACGCCTGGTGGGGCAGGCTCCTCACGTAGTTGAGAGGGAGGTTCCTGGCGGGGATTTGAGGTTCGAGGGGTGTATTGATGTTGTGGGGGATGGGAAGGAAGGAGATAAGGATTTAAAGCGATTTGATGTGGGGCGTGGATGAAAGAAGGCCTTGATGGTTGTGGATGGGGGACACGACAAACTGGGACATGATTTCGAATGGGGTTGAGTGGGGGAGGAGGCTGATGGATGAAACGTTGATACTGGAGGGTGGTAGGATGTGTAAAGTACTGTCGTGGAGGATATGTTGTGTTTTGGAGCAGTCTCGGGAGTTGTGGTTGGGGTAGCTGTAGTTGTGGTGCTTGTGGTATAATTAATTGTTGTGGAAGTGTAGAGGATTGTTGTGGTGTTGGACGTAATAGATGGTGAGGTGGAGGTGGTGGTTGTTCTAGTGTAGACGGTTCTTGTGGTGGAGGTGTTGGTCTAGGTGGTGGTGTTGGTGTATGTGATGGTGGTGGTGTTGGGGAGTTTGTTGAGTCTCGTGGTAAAGTCCTGTGCCGTCTGGATAGTGTAGGGGATCTGTGCCGTCTGGATAGTGTAGGGGATCTTTCACGTCTGAGTAGGGGAGGGGATCTTTCACGTCTGGTTGGGCTTCTGTCCTATCTTGAGCCCCTCGACACACTCCTCCCTCTGTCACGCCTACCAAATGACCTGAGGCCAGAAGATTCACTTCCTCCGGATACTTCCTCCGGATAATACCAAAGTAACCCTTTATGATCGAAAGGAAATGTGTTATATAGGCCTAATAAACTTAACGGGAAAATCTTGGAGCCAGCAAAACAATGTAGCTATACTGTATTGTTCAGCTTGTGGGCTTCACTCACCTTAATTTGTTAATCCAGGACTCGTCAAATGTAACACAACGAAGACACAAACACACATACACGCACATAAAAATCGTCCTTGGATTAATTAACTCCGACGTTTCGCGGGACCAAGATAACGTCCCGCTTCCTCAGGGAATTAAAACTTTGTTTCTCTCGCGTACACGAGCCGAACGCCTAACCACGACTGCCGGATCAGCTGTTCCAGTAGAGGGGGGGAGGGCAGGGGGGTTGGTAGACGTACTGGTCATTGTAGATAAGCCTTTGACATCCTTGGCCTTGTCTCTCAGCTGTTCTAGTTCTTCTTTAATTATTGGTAAATAAACAGTACTAACATCCACCGATGGTCGTGATAGAGGCTCATCTTCAATAGCCATAAATAGCGACTCTGCCATGTTCCGTTTCCTCCAATCCGGTTCTTTGTATAGAATTTTGCTGGAATCCCATTTTACTGTATGCTTTGTCTCTAATACATGTTCACAGATTTTCGAGCCATACCTATCCTTATTTTTAACCTTTTTAACGTGTTCGTTAATCCTCACCGTCACTGGCCTTGACGTTTGCCCTACATAGTTTCTACCACACGAACAAGGAATTTTATAGATAATATTTTTTGTTTTTTGCTGTTCATTTTCAGGTTTTAGTTTGGTGAGACGGCTACGAATTGTGTCTTTACTTTTGAAAACGTAAAGTTCGAAACGTCGGAGTTAATTAATCCAAGGACGATTTTTATGTGCGTGTATGTGTGTTTGTGTCTTCGTTGTGTTACATTTGACGAGTCCTGGATTAACAAATTAAGGTGAGTGAAGCCCACAAGCTGAACAATACAGTATAATAAACCTCGCCTAAAAACATGTCTTTCAAAAATAGAACAATGTAGCTAGCCTAGAAGTTGAATTTAACTTATAAGTATTGAAAATTGAAACCCTGATATATAAACTCAGTCGAGACAAGGTTTATGCAAGTTAGTCAACCTTATTTAATATAGGCTAGGCTACTAGTAGTAAAGTTTTTAGCATCTGAAGTTATTAGGCCATCTAGTCGTAATGAGCAATTTACAACTCAATCAAACTGTAAAATTGGTGTAAATCCGTTGGCAAATAAATAAAATAAAAAGCTAACTTATAGGCTACTAGAAAACCGCTTAAAGGTTGTATTGTAAATGCCTCAGTTGAATTCTCCTATTCAGAAATAAATTAAGTTAATTGCTAAGACAAGTAATAATAATGTACCTACTTTAATTAGGATAAATCCAGTTAAGAAGCATTCCAAACCATATCTTACCTGTTACATTCGTACCCGCTATCTCCTATCAGCACACCGTTGAACTCGTTCTGCTCGAAACGGGCGTATAGGGATGAGGTTTTGAAAACTCAGGAATCGTGCGTGCTTCCTTTCCACCTGGCGACGATGTTGGTAAACTCTTGCTTAGCGCCTACCGCCGCAAAAACATTGATTGAAAAATAGCCTTTGCGGTTTCGGTACTCCTCCTTGTCGTCAGTTGATGGACACACAATGGCCACAATGTGCCATCAATTGCACTGAGGATGCCAGGGAAACGACCTAATCAATAAAAGGCGTCCTTTGTTTGTTGAGCATATTGGTTCTTTGGAAATATGATGTAGTCTTTCCTCAGTTTATGGCATATTGCCAATGCCACTTTATGCACATAGCGGCATGCCGATGATTCTGAAATATTAGTTAGATCGCCGGCTTCCCGCAAAAGTGTTCCACTTGCAAAAAAGCGCAACGCTACCAACACTTTCTTCCACAAAGGTAACCTAGTTCCCCTTGTGGAAGTGCCTTCCAAAATAGGCCTTATCAATTCAATTAGTTCTTTCACAGAGTTTTTTGAAAATCTATACCTATCCTTGAATTCATCCTCACTTAAGTCAACAAATGGATTGTTTTCCCGCTCACGACGAATTCGTGGCCCACGAAAACGGTAAAAATCATTATAATCGATGTAATCCATAATCACCTTCAACTTAAACATACGGTACAAAAATGGCTTAGGTTAAAAGTGGACGACTAAAATTAATCCTACCCATATGAAGGATTAAAATCTAGCATGTTTTAGTCCGTGGACTAAAGCATAATTTCTTTAGTTCAGAATTAAAAACTAGTTCTTGACTAAGATTAGTCGCTGACTTATAAGTACTCGAATCAGAAAGATATGTTTCTTAGTCCAGCACTAAAATGAGCTTTAGTCTAAGACTAGCGCTAATACCTGACTCAGAAACCCGCCCTAAAAGTTCATTCTCTTTTATGTTTAGGGTCTTGCCCTTTTGTGTAGCAAAGAGATTTGATTGACAGGTAATATGGCTCACCAAATCCTGGTCTAAAAGCTGGAGGAAAACAGCAGTAGGATTTCGGCATTATTCAACATGTCCTTTCCAGTATCTTTTAGGTTCTGACCGTAAACCGCAACCTACCTCGCCAAAGACTGGCCGCACTGGTGATTACCCTGCAAGGAGTGGGGGTAACCAGGCAAGGCATACGATGCCCACCGTCCCTTTTCGGGCGCCATTTATGTGACGTAATCTTCCTGGCGGGCGACAAGTGGAAAATTACGCCACCGATAAGAAAACGAGATCCCAGGATTCGCCCTAGTCTGGTCGCGGGGAGTTTCCCAGGAGTCGATAGTGATTCAGATAGCCTAAATTTGATAGCCCTGGTTGTCAGAGCTCGAGACGAACTTTGCGGGTTACCCAAACACCCAACTCGAAATCACCACTCTAACCTAGGGCTCGTGGGGAAATTAATAATTGTGACTTGACTCTGTGGGCAAATATCTAAATGACACACTACTAGCTAACTTAACGAGACAACAAGTAAGCTAAGTAGTCACCCCGCTTACCTACAGAGTTAAGTGGTCAACCTGCAACAAACAAGGTTAGTACAAGATAGGCCTAACCAAGCCTAACTCCCACAGAGTCCAATTTATTAAACAAGGAAACAAGTTGGCTTAAGTTGTCCAAGTGAGACACGAAACTATAAAAAAATGAAACTAAAAATAAAACTGCTCCTTGAGCTGAAAACGAAAAACTAAAACTTTAACTTCCTCACGTGTTCAACTTGAACCAACTTTGACAGAAATTGTCCAGCAGAAACCTGTCTGCTGGAACAAACTTTGGGACGTTTGGGGAACTTTAAAAAGGGTTTTAAGAATTAAAAAATAAAGTCCCAAGACGGATTAAGAAACGTTAAACGAAAATATATTCCACCAACTGCAATACTTTACCAAATTAGTTGGTTAAAAATGTATGACTAGATCGGAGAGTCAGGCCTAGCCTACGAACTTCGACAAAGTTCTGCCGAAACACAACTGACGGAGAAGTATTCGAAAGAAAACCTAAGTTGTTTAAGTTTATTACACAACTTACCAAACGAAGTAATAATACTGTAAAACTTTTTTTTCGCGCACTCGATGCACCACGAAACTTACTGTAACTTTAAAACGACGAAGTAGTTGAACGAAAAACTCATCAAATCGAAGACGAAAGAACGAATGCCTTAAAGCCGGGAATACGAAAAACAATCCTTATTCTTCTCCCTTCACCTTCGTCTCAGATTCGAGGCGAAGGTTAAAACGCTCCCTGATTGGTCAGCACAAACAGAGTCAGCTGAGTCCCGTGCTGGCGAAGGCAGGCGCATGACAGCTTCAACATGCTGACAGCCGCGTACCACTCAAAAGGTGGCTCCGCTGCTCTTCTTTTCTCCCGTAGCCTGCCCTCAGACGCAGTCAACAACCAAACAACCAAACTTATACCAACGTCGTCTGCGATCTTGGAATTTGAGGTTAGTTACGATGTCAGTTTAGAGTCGCGACTAGGGCACAACAACAGCTTACATTCAGCTGTTTAAGTTTCGTGGTTTAGCCGTTATTTTACCCCCTACACATTTGACCCGTTACAAATTGTCGTTGAATAATCTCTCTTCTTCCATTTGTAATCAGGAACATCTTTTTCCTTTTAAGAACAGTCCTCTTTTTGGCCTTTTGTTCCTGCCTTCATTACTTTAAGTTTGACTTTATTACTCACATCAACTTTCTTTACACATCTAACTTTTTTTGTAGATTTGTTTTTAGTTTTATCAGTGGCAATAGACCTATCTTCACTAGTTACACTGGTCTCAACAGTTAAATTTTAACAACATTTTGGAGTTTCAGCTAAAATAGGTTCAACAGGGCCTTTATCATGAACAATCTCATTTTCTAGACTTAGGCCTGCCTTAACAATTTCTGTGTTGAATATTTCATCAAAGTTGTTAATAGTTTCGGTTTCATCACTGATTATTGCTACAGTTTCTACAAGCTCATTAGGCTCTAATAGTATGCATGGGCTGATTGTACTTGGCTCGACAAACGATTTCTCATTACTAATACTAGGACTTAAAAGGAGTAGTAGAGACATCAATAAATCCTAAATCTACTTTACTATTTACATTAGGGACAACATTTCTGAGCGAAATATCTGGTTCTTTTGAATCTAAACAATACTTTTCTCCTAACCCCACTTCGTCACCACTTTTATCATCACCACTCAAATCCGAATTTTTAAAGTTTTCAGGTAGATCTTCCAATAACAACTCGTCTATTTCTTGTAACTTTAGTTTTCTATCCATACTGACGGAACCATAAACATAAAATCACCAAAAACGCACCACAAAACAAGTGTGAACTGTTACTTGGACAAAACAGCAGTAAACAGTAAACCCTCTCATATCCGGACTAATGTGGCGCCGGCCGATCCGGATAACAATAAATCCGGATATGAGAGACACATTTTTTAGATGAGAAAACAGACTGATACTGTACAACAACTACGGTACTCAATTTTAGTAAGCCTTAAATGCGGAAACGTTTGTTTATTAAATAAAACAACGGTATTTTGGTTTTAATAACACTTTAATACAACATCAAAACTCAAAACATATTACGTAATACAGTACAGTACAGTGAAAGAAATGAAATGAAACTAAGAAAAACACTTTAATACAACATCAAAACTAAAAAAAATATTACGTAATACAGTACATTACAGTGAACGAAATGAAATGAAACTAAGAAAAAGACCAGTACTGTAACGAACAAAAATGCAGGGCTACAGAGTAAAATAAAAAAAACCTTTCACCTTTCACCTTTAAATTCTGAACAAAATGGTACAAATTCCATTTCTGTAAAAATAACGGAAAAATCGGATTTTCCCAAAAATGGCCCGAACGATTTTGATAAAGATAGAAGAAGTATGTTAGAGTCCTTTAAATTCTGAACAAAATTGTACAAATTCCATTTCCGTATATTTACTATATATTTAATTATATAATTACCGTATATTTAATTATAAAACAATTTATATTTGTTGCCAATAAACCACGAATACTAGAAAAATCCCGGAAAAATCGGATTTTCCCAAAAATGGCCCGAACGATTTTGATAAAGATAGAAGAAGTATGTTAGAGTCCTTTAAATTCTGAACAAAATTGTACGAATTCCATTTCCGTATATTTACTATATATTTAATTATATAATTACCGTATATTTAATTATATAACAATTTATATTTGTTGCCAATAAACCACGAATACTAGAAAAATCCCGGTATGTATCATAAACATAAACAAATGACGTTGTTGGCCCGAATCCTATACTAATAGCATTGAAAATATGTTTTGGCAGTTCTATTTAAGCAATGTTAAATTATGTTTATTTTCGAGCCAAAACCGTCATTTGTTTTTATGATCCTATTATGTACTTTGCCTAATTTAATACAATTAAATTGTGCACATAATGTTGACTGTGCAGTGTATATTTATTACTGAATGACTTCACATAAACATAAATAAAAACAACAACAAATAATTAACTGATCAGCTGGATTAAATAGGGACAGTCTTTGGAAATATGTATCAACTCTCCCACAGTGTACAGGCTAGAGACTACTCAAGTCCTAAACGGAAATGGAGCTTTGGAACTATCATTGGAAGAGAAGGTACCCTCTTATACCAAGTCAAAATGGAAGACGGAACTGTGTGGAGGAGGCATATCGATCAGCTTCTAAAATGTGAAATTTAGGCGGGGAGAGTTGATACATATTTCCAAAGACTGTCCCTATTTAATCCAGCTGATCAGTTAATTATTTGTTGTTAATAGTACCAAGGACTTTGGGACTTTTTGTGACATCAGTGAATCAGCTGTAAGTTCTACTGGAATGTGCGGAAGCACCTTCGCAAAAGCGGCATCAGCAATAATACTGGAATTACGCGGGAGGAAGATCTTGTTGACGTGGCACGTTAGGGATCATTAGAAGAGCGTTTAAGCTATCGATATAATCATGTGAATTTGGTGCATTATAGACCCTAGTGCATGTTCGGATGATACAGTCATACTGACGAGCAAGTTTCTTGACGTTCTGATACCTTCGACCACAGAGGGAATAGTAAGCTCGGAAAAAGTTCCTCTTTCTAGGGTGGAACACAATGGTATGCTCTGGATGTATGTCTTCAATACGATTGGTTAGAATTAGAATGCCTTTTTTAGATATCTTATCCAGTATGTAAGGTTTCCTGAGCTGTGTGGGTAGTTCGTCACTCTAGATTATTGCACGTTGTTCAGCCTTCGCCAATTGGCGGAATCTAGACTCCTCGTGACTTGGAGGGTAATAAACAACGGCTCCTGGTTGGTAGTCATTTTGATTGGGAGGATCAGGGGCAGCCATTATGCGGCGCACGTCATTGATGGAGTAACGGTTTTGTTTCCCTACCTCGAAGGGATTTACGATCTGCCAGGCAGAGGTTCAAGCCAGTCGTTGGCTTCGAGGTCATCGGGGTCACGATTTCTAATGTATTCTTGAGGGAAGTGGTAAACAGTATTTTCCCACCTCCGCTGGGGTCTTTCTGGTGTGCCCTCACCACCATAGGGTTGCTGACCAGCGAGGAAACCATCCCACATCTTTTCCTGTACAGAGTCAGTACTGAAGGAAATCTCGCACTCATCAGGATTGAACAGCTTAATGCTGTAACTAAGACCGTTACTCAGTTTCAGTTCGTTACGCATCTCGTAAACGGTGCGATCCGTGCGGAAGATGGGTGGATACATTGGATCATTCACAGGGTCATCCTCATGCTCAGCTAGATGTATCTGAGGTTGCTGGTGTGGAGGGGGGGGGGGATTGTCACCTGGCTGACTATCCCTGTCCGTATGGGAATCGGAATGAGCATCGTCTTCCACGGCACTGTTTGCTCTGATTACTGACATTGCGTTTTCTAGGGTTTGTTCGAAATTTCTACGCAAGTCTTCGGGTAGGCCGGAATTCTCTTGGGGCATCAGCGTTGAGGTGTTGTACATTAACTGAGCTTAATAAATTGTTATACGTTGGCCTACGGAAATTATACGGTAGAGTTAAGATGTGCACGTACCTGAAGTATAACGTAGACTGCGTTGTCGTCCTCATCGTCTTGTCTCCAGGGTTTGAACTTTGTACTGTGGACCTTTGATTTCTATGCTATTGTTCTTAACCATTGTAGTTG